ATTCTACCAGTCCGTGACCACAGTTTAATCTTCCACTAGTTTATGTCTTCCTCCATCTCTTTTTTCAACGTCCTGTAATTTTCTAAGTATAAGCCTTTTACCTCCTTGGTTAAGTTTATTCCTAAGTATCTTAATTTTTTTTGTTGCAATGGTAAATAGGATTGTTTTGTGTGTGTGTGTGTGTGTGTGTGTGTGTGTGTGTGTGTTTAGTTTTTCTTTCTGAGAGTTCATTATTTCTGTATAAACATGCCATTGCTTTCTGGATGTTAATATTGTATCTTGCTACATTGCTGAATTTATTTATTAAACCCAGTAGTTTTTTGGTGGCATATTTAGGGTTTTTCTATGTACAATATCACGTCATCTTTATGCAATAATATTAGTATAAGGTGGCTATTGGTTTTAATTGTAGAACCAAAGATTGAAAACTTATAGCTACAGGACAGATTAATGCTCCCAGAGACCTTGCCAATGTGACAAGCAGCTGTGTGGTGACTGGGAGCTGTGAGAGTGGGGGGGGGGGGGGGGGGGAGAATGATGGAGAGAACGTGGGGAGCACTAACTGGCTGATCAAACGTGGTGGTGGATCAAAGCATTACAGTCAACAACTGATGTATCAGGAAACAGTTTTAAATAGGTTACTAAAAGCTATAAAGGTAAACCAACAGAACTAAAATGAAAATGCTCCAAGCAGGGCTTGCGGATGGAGGGAGAGCAAAGGGAAGGACCAGTGGAATGAGCCATGGTTGCATTTTCCCCAGGGTGCAGTCACGGGTCTTCCTAAAGGGGGTCAGGCAGAGGCAGGGACCAGCCTGTCTGTAGCTGCTGACCATTATGGTAGCCACTAGCCACATGCGGCTATTGACTTATTGAAACGTGGCTAGTGTGACTGAGGAACTGAATTTTTAAATTAAAATTTTATTAATTAATATGCAAATTAATAGTGTGCCTAGTGGATATTGCATTGAATAGCACAGGTATAGGTGTTTCTTTCATCATCAGAAGTTCCACTGGACAGCGTTGGTCTAGAGTTTGGGTGACAATTATTAGAAGAATCAAAACCAGAAATGATCCAGCATAAATTCTTGGCTGGGGAAGATGGAACGGGGCTTTTACTCTTCCTATCACACGTCCTTTACACTTTGAATATCTATCATCTATATATTTTCTTGTATGTTCAGAATGCTCATCTCACCTGTCATCTCGAGGGCCACAGAAGTCCATTTCCACAGGATTTTTATGATTATTTTGTTTTTTAAAAAAATCTTTTTATCGTTTTTATTTTTTAGGTTTTTTTAAAAATATATATATATTTTATTGGTTTTTTACAGAGAGGAAGGGAGAGGGATAGAGAGTTAGAAACATCGATGAGAGAGAAACATCGATCAGGTGCCTCCTGCACACCTCCTACTGGGGATGTGCCTGCAACCAAGGTACATGCCCTTGACCGGAATCAAACCTGGGACCTTTTAGTCCGTAGGTTGATGCTCTATCCACTGAGCCAAACTGGTTAGGGCTAAAAAAAATCTTTTTAAAGGGAAGATATTTGTTCTTGTAAATTCTAATAGTCATAAACAAAAGTCATTGTTAATCCTTGTTTTCTTCTACCTAACATCCATGGCTCTGATAAAACACAAAATTATTCTAGTTCATAAAATTGAATTGCTATTTGTCACCTTCCTGGCCACAGCTCTGCTCCTTCAATACTCAATTATTTGATTCCTGTGATCCTTAAAGAGAGCTATGCCTTTTCTTTCAACAAAAGCCGGAACTTCTCAGAGAGGAAGGCAATGTTGGTGGCACCTGAACACGTGATGTGCAGAGGGGCCGCGCAAGCCACTTCCCGGGGGAGCGGGAAGGGCAGTGTGAGGGGCATGAGCACTTTTTAATTTACCTTCTTCAGCACTTGACCTTTTCGGCAACAAGGAGCATATGTTTCTTTTGTAATTAAGTGAAACCAATAAAAAGTGGATTAGATATAATAAAACTAAATGTTTGGCACTAACCTTTTAGAAAAATGAGACCAGATCCTTGAGGAGGCGGCCTAGAGAGCCCTTGGCGATGGGCTCCCGCGCCTCGCCACCTCACTCCGCACCACCCTCTTTCTCTCATCATTCCGGGCTCAGTGTCCTTCCTGTAGTCCTCAAGCACGCCACCCTGCCTCCCAGTATGGGGTTTGCAACCTGCTGGTTTCTCTGCCTAAATTGCTTCCCTGGCTTCACCCTTCCTCACCATTTTTGCCTTCAGGTCTCAGCTAAAAGCCCACTTTCTCAGGGAGACCTCCATGGCAGGTTGTATTTTCCAAAGGTGTTCTTAACAATATCTCCTCTCCCATGTTCCATTCTGCAGCATGACCTCGCACGCACCCATCAAGAGGAGGAGTCACGTTCTCTACCCCCTGGAGCCTGGGTGGACACTAAGACAGACTTGCTTGAACAAAGGAATGCAGGAGAGGTGACCTGGGCCTTCTGAGGAGAGGCTGGGGAAGACTTGCAGGTCCCTTATGGGTCATCGGGGATGCCGACTCCCTCTTGGAACCCAGTGCCCGCTAGAAGAAGGCCAAGCCGCACGGAGAGACCACGTGCAGACACTCTGATCAACAGCCACGGGAGGGAGGCATCTCACATGTCCAGCCAAAGGGGACGCCCGCAGTCCCTGCTGCCAGCAACTGCACAACAACCCAAGAAGAACCACTGAGGTGAGCCCAGCCACACAGAACCATGAGAGGCAGTAAATTCCTGGTTTAAGTGTGGGGGTTGTGTTTAGGAGCAATAGGTATCTAGTCCATCTTCCCAGGAGGGCGAGGCCCCCATTACACTCTCAGGGACCCTCCTTTGGAGAATAACTAATGGGAATAATGTGAGCCAAGCACTGGACCTAGTGCCTTACAGACACTATCTTACTCAGTCCTTCAAAAGGTCCCCTGAGGGAAAGAAGCATCTTTCAGTCCTTCTGAAGTGAGAGAAACAAGGCCGGTCAGGAACATTACGATCACTTCCCCTCTCTGCTCAGCCAGGATGGGAACACCAGGAGCCCCTTTGCAGCACTTCCCATGATTGTCACGGTCCCTGTATCTTTAGGATCAGTTGGATTAATGTCTCTTCCTTCCCAACTGAATTGTGAGCTCCGTGGGTATTGAAAACATGCTATTTTTGTTTGTGGTGAATCTTTGGTGCCTAAAATGTGCTCAATACCGTCAGAGTGAATACATTTCAGTGGCTTCCAGGGGGCTCGTGTTCGAGGTAAGAGAATAAAAGGCCATTTACCTCATTATTCCTTATGACCTCTACTCACCTGTAGTTTAGATGGGAAATATGTATTTGGAATGCAGAGGAGTATGGATATAGTGCTTGGGAGCATAGGCTTTGGAGAAGACAGATCTGGGTTCAAATCCTGACCTGAGCATTCTGTGACCTTGGCTAAGGTCATCATCTCGTCACCTGTAATATCGAGAACATACCGTGCTGGGTGCAGAGAGGATGAAATAATGAAGTAACAGGCAGAATGCCTTGAACACACGGCTTGGCATGCAATCCCAACAGGGTCCCACTGTCATGCACAACAGAAAATTCTTCCAACTCATGGCACAAGTGAGGTCTGCTCACATCAAACCTTAGCTCAGACTGAAATGGCCGAGAGATGTCTAGCTCAGGCTGGGTAGGTACAGGGGAGCGAGGCGGAGACTACACTGACATTTGCATTGATGATTTTTTAAGTCCTTGATTAAAGATTCAGCGAATTCCAAGTATTCAATATACGAAATCGGGCCACATCATGAAGACTGAGAGCTGGACGACCTTCCAACTCCACGCAGATGGACAGCACCCTTTCTAGGAGGTAGGACACACGTCCTGAGAGGAACTCTAACCGGCCTGGCTCCTGGGCCACACACACAGCCCTGAAATGGAGGAGGTAAGCATTTGGGGGGTTAGAGGCTTTCTGCCCCTCTATTCAGAAGCCATAGCTGCTACAAGCAGAAAACAGGCCAACACCTGAAATATGACTAAAGAGGCCTCAGGACTTCCTCCCTGGATGGGGCACGGGCACGGCTGCTGGAACCTGTCAGGGCTCCATTCACACGTTGCCCACGTCATTTCCCACTGCACTGACCAGCTGCTTGCTGTAGTCTCTGTGCATTTGCCCAGCTCTGTGTTTTCCTGTGTTCTCGGCAGAGCTTTCCCAGTGGTGGTCATGTAGCTCCCGTTAGACATTGCTCCTAGTTAGGAGTGACGCACTGTGCGCGTGCGGTGTGACTGATGGCGGGGGCATTGTTGTATTTACAGTAACTCATACGGGTGTTCCCCCACTTGAGGAATGTAATGACGGCAGGAAGCCAGCATGCTACCCCACAGTTACCACAATTTACGAACCCAGAGGTAGGTGTCTCACTTTTGATTGACCAGTAGGGGTTTTAAGGCCTCCGCAGGTTCAAGCCAGAGTGTGTTTACAATGTTTTCTTTGCAAGAGAGAACCGTTTGCAACCTTAACTCAAGCACATTAGAATGGAAAGGACAACAACTGAGCAAAGAAATGGTTTTTTAAGAGGATATTTGGGAGTTGGGCAGAAATAACATATATGTTCAGCCTGAGCATCCCCGATTGAGGAAATGACTGAGATGCCAAGTTGAAGGTTACAACACTTACCTGAACCACTGAAAAGAAAATGGGCAAATCAAAAAGGGGTTGGGTTGTTGAAGATTTAGACACATTTTTTACTCTTCCAAAATTTGGAAGCCATTTTGATTTGAGAGAAGCAGTAATTAGGCTGCAGGGTTTATTTTTTTTTTTTCAAAAATAGCACCAAATTTCATTGATTTGGAAAATAAAAGCTTGGGTTAACAACTCAGCTGGCCTTAGGGAAGCTACATCTCCTCTGGCCTTGAACTTACCATTTGCATTTTGGGGCATACTCTCTCTGGTGTGAATTAAGAAGCAGAAAGGGGTGTCTCAGCCCACTTTACAGTCAGGCAGCTACCACTGTGTGACGTTGTGAGCACCTCAATATAAGCCAGTGTCAAGCCAGACAAGCAACCCATTTTTGACAAAGCTTTTTACCAAGTAATGGCTTACTCTTAAGAGCAGAATATTTGAAATACAATTTTTAAAAGTTAAAATTTCATTAAATGCATGTACTGCTATTGGAGAAATATCATAAAACATCCTTTTTAATGTGACCACTACTTCATACAATGAAAAACTATTTACAATGTGTTGCTTCAAGATTGGTTGCTTTTACATCATATATATTATACCCAGCACATGTCTCCAGCTGGGGAGCTTCAGTCCAATTGCACGTTCTCCTTGTATTGGATGGTGCTCCAAGGTCCCTGGGGATTCAGGGGATCTGTCCACTTACATTCTCCTTAGTAATTATGGCTCAGCAGGCATTCCACCAAAATCATCTATAACCCAGAGACTCTGGTAATCACACATGTAAAATGCGTAGATTACATTTTTCTCCAATAAATACTAATTTGACAATACAATCCATTTCCATCTTAAGAAAGTGTTCTCTTTCTCAATGGAACTAGAGTGAATAGTCGGTGGTTCACACTGGAACGGAGTGATGGTCTTTGTATACAAATATAGCATACTTTGGCCAGGAATATCATTTCTTATTAAAGAGTTTATTTGCCTTCACACGCCGGATTGCTACATACATTCACAGTTTTAAGAGACTGCAATTAGCTATTCCAGTTGTGCTTTAAAATCCCAAATATTATTTTCATCAGTGAGTGCAAAGCGACTGCTCCACCTGACAGTGGTTGGTCCAGAGCTATAACCTCCAAGATGACGACGAGGAAGTGCCCTCACTCTCCAGGCTCATCGCTGGCTTTTTCAGGTATGACTTCCAGACTCCGTCGTGGCTTCTGCACGTCGGCATTTTCTGTCCCTGGTTTATTCAGTCCACATGAAACAGCAGCAAAATGGATTTGTTTCAAGTTCTCCAAAGTCTCGTTCTTAGCGTATTTTAAAAGATCCGCTTGTCCCTGTAACAAAACATGCGATGAAACATGTTAGATATGACCTGGCTTATTGTCACGGTTTGACAACATAGGTCTTCTGCTGCAACAGAAATGTTTTCATTCCTCCAAGGGGGCATGTGCATTTCTTATTGGCACGGCATTAGAACAGGTCAGTTTTAATGAGTTTACCAAGAGTGTGCTGCCTTTTCAGTCCTTTTCATTTAAAAATCTGAACAGAGGTGTATTACATCTTCTAGTAATTTGGCCAATCTTGTTTTTTCCTTTTGTTTTTCTTAACCTTTATATTCTGAAATACATATAAACTCACAGGATGCAAATATAGTACAGAGAGGTCTCGTGTACCCACATTTCCCCCAATGCTTACATCTGTAGTACAACAGTATCCAAGCCAGGGGCTGACACTAATACAATGTGTGTGTATAGTCCTCCATCACTTTAGCCCATGTGTAGATTCATGTAACCTCCACTGAAATCCACACACAGGGCTAACCCGTCACCACAAAGATCTCCCTGGTGCTGACTCCACAGTCACACCATTCCCATCCCTCCACAACCACTAATCTTGTCAAGCTATCCCGTGCATCTGACGATACTTAGCAGCATCCCTGGAGAGTAGTAGCAACGACTCAGTTGAGACAATCAAAATGTCTGCAGACATTGCCAAGTGTCCATATAGCCAATGATTTCAAGATGATGTGGTGTCAATTGCTCCACCGTTATAAAATTCAACATTCCTACTTTAATGTTTTGTTCTGTTTTCCTCCTTATATTTAATCTGCTTCCCACCAAGTGTTCTACTTATACCATTGTCGTTCCTTCTTTCTTAGTCTCTTTGCTCATGATTTTCCCCTTTTCTCAGGCTCTAAATTTATTCCATTACTCAATGATTCCTCTATAGCAGTGATGGTGAACCTTTTGAGCTCGGCGTGTCAGCATTTTGAAAAACCCTAACTTAACTCTGGTGCCGTGTCACATATAGAAATTTTTTGATATTTGCAACCATAGTAAAACAAAGACTTATATTTTTGATATTTTATATATTTAAATGCCATTTAACAAAGAAAAATCAACCAAAAAAATGAGTTCGCGTGTCATAGGTTCGCCATTACTGCTCTATAGTTTGACTTTTCCTTTGCCATACTTACATCCTTAGTACCATCCCTTCTTTCTTCCTTTCTGCTTGTTATTTGTTTTCAATTGCCTCCCAATGTGCATCCTGCACAGATAAAACTTGGGGCCACCTGCAAAGGGTGACAGGTAAGGACTGGCTCTGGCAGACAACAGGGCTATAATCAAATTTCTGCCACTAGTGCGTTCAAATGGCAATTTAAGTCACCATGAGGTGGGACTCCACAGAATGGTTTGCTATTTACCACTTACTGTTCATGATTTTCCTGCTTTATAGATATCTTTAATTAGTTACTATAAATAGGTGTTCCATTATTTAGTTTAACTGCATATCTCCCAGAGGCCTCAGGGGTACCCTCAGTGTCACTTTAAGATGACAGCACACGGTTCCTCTGCTATCTCTCACTTGCGTGTCTTCTGTAACCAAAACCAGAGAATGAAATATAATCTCACAGCCAGGAAACAAAGCCTTTATCTAGACTATTAATAGCAGGTGGTCACAAACATAGTGCCCTTTAGTAACTGTTTTGTGATCAGTCATAAATTTGGGTGATGTGAGACTCATCTAGAAACTGAATACATTTCAAACCAGTATTAAGTTTTCCGCACCACAGGCCAAATGCACAAACCTCTTCTAAAAGTGCGATGGAAACTATGTTACATTTCTTAAAACTACAATTCAAATTGGCATAGAGGGCTAGGAATGTAATTATAGTCCTAAATTTGAGACCACACAGCCTACAATATGCAGAAATGTATATCAGCAAAGCCTTCTGGAAACAATAGGTATTTAACTGAGTGACTACTGTATGCCAGGCACTGTCTAAGCTCTTTACAAAGATTATCTCATGGGAGGTTCAACTACTACCCATACTTTAAAGATGAGGAGACTGAGTTTAGGGAGATTAAAGGCCTCGCCCAATGCAGAGACTACACAGCAAATTTTGCTTAAGCACACACAACTTTAACAAATGGGACTACATCAAAATAAAAAGCTTCTGCACAGCATAAGAAACCATCAACAAAATGAGAGCCCGCTGCATGGGAGAACATATTTGCCAGTGATATCCAATAAGGGGTTAATCTCCAAAATATAAATCGAACTCATACAACTTAACAAAAAAGCTAAACAGACACTTCTCCAAAGTGGACATACAGAAGGCCAAGAAGCACATGAAAACATGCTCAGAGCCACTAATCATCCAAGAGATGCAAATAAAAATGACAACGAGGTACCATCTCACACCTGGCTACATCAACAAACAACAAGTGTTGGCGAGGACGTGGAGAAAAGGGAAGACTGGGGCAGCCTTTGTGGAAAATATTAAACATGGAACTGCCATTTGACCCAGTGATCCCACTTCTAGGAATGTATCCCAAGAAATCGGAAACACCAATCAGAAAGGATATATGCACCCCTATGTTCTTTAGCAGCACAATTTATAATAGCTAAGGTCTGGAAACAGCCTAAATGCCCATTAGCAGATGAGTAGATTAAAAAGCTGTGGTACATATATACAATGGAATACTATGCTGCTGTAAAAAAGAAAACTGTTACCATTTCCAACAGCAAGGATGGAACTGGAGAGCATTATGCTAAGCCTGTGGTCGGCAAACTGCGGCTCACGAGCCACATGCAGCTCTTTGGCCCCTTGAGTGTGGCTCTTCCTAAACCTTAGGAGTACCCTAATTAAGTTTAAAAAATTTGGCTCTCAAAAGAAATTTCAATCGTCGTACTGTTGATATTTGGCTCTGTTGACTAATGAGTTTGCTGACCACTGTGCTAAGCGAAATAAGCCAGTCAGAGAAAGATAAGTATCATATCATCTCACTCATATGTGGACTCTAATGAACAAAAATAGATCCAGAGACATAGAAGCATCGAACAGACTGTGGAACCTCAGAGGGAAGGGAGGGAGGAAAGAGATCAACCAATGAACTTGTATGTATAACTGCATAACCCATGAACACAGACAATGGGGGCTGGAAGAGGTCAATGGGGGGAAAGGGGCACATATGTAAAACTTTCAACAATAAAATTTAAGATTCAATTTCATTCAGAATGAATGCCTTTCTCCTCAGAAACAATTTCATGTTTTACTCAACAAAGATGGAGGTAGGGGGCTTGTAGGCAGCACCAGCGAGGAGGGGTGGTGCTGAGCGGGCCTGACAGAGGGCAGGAAAGGATGTCAGCGGCTGCGGGGGACACTGACCTCCACACGTGGCTCCCACGAATGACGCCTCCGGGGCCTCCATTGTTGAGTAGTGTGGTTTCTATACTACAAAGCGGTGTAAGTTCCAACTGTGACTGCATCTCCCTCGGCTACAGACCTGGCCATAGGAAGGGCTAATTTTCACCCTGGTGGTGAGTGCACCCCTGCAGCAGCAGAGGGGCCTCTCATGACACAGAAGAGGCTGCTCTGGTGGCAGAAGTGGGGTGAGGTCTCAGGAGCAGCCCTCGGAGTGTCCAGATGGAGTTTCCTCGAAACCCAAGCACAGAGGCAGGAGGTTGAGCATGGGTTCCAGGCAGAGACCAGTGCCTGAGAGGCGGGGAGTGCGGCTCAGCTGCAGAGAGGAAGTGGAGGGCACGGGCTGCTGAGAGGGGCAGGGCCAGGACCATGAGGGAGCTCCTGCAAATGCAGTGAACACAGTGCATGCATAGGACTCCCCCCGTTAACCTTTCAGCTCACCTGTGCATCGCCAAATGGTAGCTGAGGCTCGCAATTCCACATGAGAGGGATCCGACTGTCTGAGGTTTTACTGTGCTCAGATGCATCAGAAAGTACAGTCTGTCTAATGACAAACACTATTGTAGTTTGAGTTTCTGAGCCATCTGAGCAGTTTTCACACACTAAACAGAAATGGCTTCCAGTCAGTTACAGCTTTTCAGGAAAACAGGCAACATAATACATCACCTATAATAAATGACCTAATTAAAGGATACTGGCCTCAATAAAGGAAGTAAGTTACACGTAGGCTACGGAAGTCATTTTCCCAAAGGAAACAAATGTTAGGCTTCAGGTTGTCAAGGTAAGCACTGCACCTCAAGTAAAAGCAAATAAAATTGAGATTAATGTCTTACCAGGTGCAAAATCTGTCTGGTTTAATTATTTATTTTGTGGAGAAGTCCTCTGCTCCTAAAGAGAACAAACCTCTAATCACATGCAGGGTCTGTTTTTAGTCTTATTGGGAGGGTGGGATGGCACAGGATGGGGAGGTAGCTTGGTAGCAATTCGTCTGGAAAACATCTTGAGTTGCAAAAGTCCACGACTCAAGTGTGATCCAATCCAACATAACTTTGGCCTCTAAGATAATTTTCAGGCTACGAGCAAAATCATACCGAGTCTCACTCTGGGCTGCTGAGCCCAGCACATGTGAGTATGGGGATGATTCTAGTAGCCCGTTTTATGAACGCTGACACACAGAGCCCTCAGAAGGCCCAGGGCCAGCCGGCAGGGACCACAGCCTCCCATCCTGGCGTCTGTGGGAGGACTGAGCATGTCTGAGTGAGTCAGGCGGGCCTAAGAGAAGATGGGATCTTTCCCAGGGACGGGAAGGGTGTCGGAGAAGAAGGAACAGAGGGATTCGGTGCTGCCTAAGGGCATGACTATCACCAGGGGGTGGAGGTGGAGTCAAATTTTATAAAACTATGAGATTTTACCATCTTAGAAATGGTAACAAATAGAAACAGGAAAATTATCACTAGTGCAGTGAATATTTTAGCAAATGGAAAATAGAGGGAGAGGAAGGTCTTGATTAAGCTGGTGGTTCAAAGTGCATTCCGGAACGTGCTTCCCACATCCCTGATGAAATGAGCAACAAGAGTAAAGTTAGCAAACCAGTAACAAACACAAAACCACAAGCAGCCACCAAACAAAGAAAAGGATACACCAAGATGTAAGCAACTTCTAAAACTCACAGAAGCCATACTGGCAATTCATAAAAATCCTGAAAATTCTAACATCCAACCAAACTGGAGAGAAGCCAAGTGAGGGATGGAGTGGGAGCAATGACGGGACAGAGGGTGGGATGAATCGCAGAAGCATGATGCCAAGTGAAAGAAGCCAGGCACCAAGCAACATGGGAATTAGTCTTGGGATCAAATGGGACAACATAAAAATAGCAATATCCCAGCTCCCTACCTAGATATACTTGAGAATACTCACATTCTCATCTTTCAGAGCAGATGGTCAACCAACAGAGCTTAGAACTGAAATGTGTAGCTTTAAAAATACCAACAAGACAACTCCTATTAACATTTTTCATCTTTTTTCTTAACCTCAGAGCGATTTAGAAGAAATAAATACCCCTTACAGTAGACATTGTTCAGCAATTCATTTAGCTTTTCTACGGTTTACTTTTCTTCTGTTATATAAATTTAAAAAGAGCAATTAAGGTAGGATTCTATTTACTGGTGTACCTTATTTTATAATATCCGAGACTCAGTGCTTATGAGACCTACCGTTATTTTTATAGACTGCTAAGAAAGAAAAATCACCGCCAATGTAACTAGGATACAATGCAAAGATGCCATGGACTATGGATACATACCAATTTCAAAGATGCCAAAAATATGAAAAAATCATGACTCGGAATCAATAAAATGACTCTCCCTCCCTCCCTCCCTCTACCCACAAGCACAACAAAAAGTGTCCTGGAGTGAGCTCACCTACATTTAATACTCGTTATTTCTTAGAGGGAAGATCTGAGGTCATTTTAAAACTTTCATCTTTTCTAACATGAAAAACAACTTCTTTCTAATGAAGACATAAATGAATGACTGCTCTTCAAAGAAAAAAAATGACTGGGAGTAAGTATGCCGAGATGTTAACAGCGGGTCATTCTGGGTGGTGATCATGCATGCCATTTCTTCTTTGTTCATTTCCGTATTTTAAAGCAATTCTTAAAATTGCAAAACTAAACAAAGCAAGTAAAGATTCATAAAACCTGGGATGGCATCCTTAGGTGAAAGCAGTTTGTGGCAGGTGCCTCGTCTCAGGGCGACCCGCTGAGCCCGGGTACCAGGCCTATCCCAGCTTTCACACTGGAAATCCACCTCCCAGGATGACTGGCCACCCTGCATCCTTTACTGTTCCACCTGGAGGGGTGATGCACAGGAGAGACACTTGATTTGACTCTAGAGACTTAATACTTGGTATTTTTTAGGATGCTTCAGGATCCCCAGGGGAAGTTGTTAAAGATTCCTATGTCCCGCCCTGGAGATTCTGATGCAGGACCAGGAGGTCTGAGAGGGCCTCCGGAGGCTACATTTTTAAAATATATATTTTATTGATTTTTGACAGAGAGGAAGGGAGAGGGATAGAGAGAAACACTGATCAGCTGCCTCCTGCACACTCCCTATTGGGGATGTGCCCACAACCAAGGTACATGGCTTGACCGGAATCGAACCTGGGACCCTTCAGTCCGCAGGCCCGGAGGCTGCATTTTTAAGGACCCCAGGTAATTCCTATATGCGGCTTCAAGCTTGCTCAGCAGCGCCTCCTCCTCCTCTCCATATCCAGTGTCCTCTGAAACCTTCCCTGAGCGTATGTGCCCATCCGCTGCCAACTGCACAGCACGCGGAGCTCTGAGGGCTGCCACCTCCCCATTCACCACGAAGAACAAACCATGAGAGGAGCTCCTGCCAGGAAGAGGTTAGCAGCTCAACTCACATCCAAACTTGCATACGAGTCCAGGAGCACTGATTCTTCTAAAGAAAGTGTAAGCCTGGGAAACACACAGGAAGCCCTTCTATTGCACGGAAATGGCACACAGATCTTGCCAATTCTCCTCCATTGCTCGACACCATCCATAGCAAATATTATCCTGGAAATTTGAAAACTACCTAGTACCCTATCCTGTACATTTCTTTCCTTGTGAAAAAAGTCTGGGGTGTTAATTCTCACTCCTGGACATAAGTCTGTGGACAAAAAGAGGGGTATGGGAAGATCTGAAGATGGTGGTGTAGGTAAACACCAGTATTTGCCGCTTCCCACAACCACATCAAAATTACAACTAAAATACAGAACCATCATCCAGAACTGCGGGAGAGCTGGCTGCATGAAGTCCTACAACTTAAGAAGTAAAGAAAGCACGCTGAGACTGCGAGGGGGCTGGTCCGGCACCCACATGCTGGTTGTTGTTTTTTTAATCAGGAGGGAGATCATCTCTGCAGAGGCTACCCGGAAGGAGCAAGGGGCCCCAGCCCCATACCAGCCAGGGTTCCAGAGCTGGGAAGGAGAAGTCCCCGTAACTACAGGCTGTAAAAACCGGCAGAGACTGTGGTTGAGTGACAAGGAGGCTGCTGGAGACCCAGGTGTCCCTCTTAAAGGGCCAAACACAAACCTACACGGAACAGCTTCTTCAGAGCTCCAGCACCGGGGGACCCAGCCACATACAGGGAGGAACTGGATTGTCTGGCATTGGGGCAGGAACTCGGGGGTCGCTTTCTCCCAGATGGGTGCTCACAGAAGTCGCTGTTCCTGTGCTGGGACCTCCCTGTCGCAGGGCTGACTGGCAGCCATATCCAGGTCTCCATCAGCCTGGCCCACACTGTTTGCTCCGCCCTGGTGATTCCCTGAGACCCCACCCCATCCAATTTGCAGCCCCACCCAACCTGTTTGCAGCAGCTTTTCCATATGAAAGGCCTGTCCTGGATCAGGCTTCAGACTTTGGTAAAATATCTCAAACAAGCTGCAGCTGGTGACAGCGTGCTCCAAACCTATCAATAAAAGGCCCAGACTAGGCACTAGCACCAGCCTGCCTTGCTTCACAGCTGGGCCCCGCTTCCTACACAGCAGCTCTCCCACTCTAGTCCCAGCTGGTCCTCACAGCCCACTGGCCTGGAGGTCAACTCCTCCCAGAGGTGCCAATAGCAGTTAAGGCTCAACTACAAGACTGTGCACACAGCCCACACAGGGGCGCACCTAGAGTGCCCAGCTCAGGTGACTGGGGAGGCTGGGCCACTGGGCCCTACAGAACCACCTGCTACACAAGGCCACTCTACCAATGCCAGGAGACATAGCAGCTCTACCCAATACATAGAAACAAACACGGGGAAGTGGCCAAAATGTGAAGACAAAGAAACATGTCCCAGATGAAAAAAATGGAAGCAAGCAAACTACTGGATACAGAGTTCAAAACCATTGTTATACAGTTACTCAAGGATCTTAGTGAGAATGTCAAAGACATGAAAAGGGTCAGTCAGAAATTAAGCATACACTAACTGAAATAAAGGACAATTTATAGGAATTCAACAGTAGAGGATTCTGAGAAATCAACAACTTGGGTGTTTTTTGCTTCCTCATATTCCAATCAGAAGAGCCAAAAGAAAAAAAGACTCCAAAAATAGGAAGAAATTATATGCTCCACCCTCAAGGGAGCACATAATTTGTTAACTATCCTGGAGCTTCTGGGACAACTTCAAGCGTACCAACATTTGCATCATGGGGGTGCCCAATGACGAATCTCAGTGGGAAGGGGAGGGAGGGCAGGAAGAGATTAACCAAAGATCTTCCCTATGGACACAGCAGAGTGGTGAAGACCTGGCGTGGGGCAGGAACCGGTGGAGGGGGACAATGTGGGGGAAAAAGGGAGACATCTGTAATACTCTCAACAATAAAGTTTTGTTTTTTTAAAGGGGTATGAGTTCAGTGACCTAATGTAACATCATGGGGGTGGGGGTGATATGATCATAAATTCCTAACCAGGAAAGGCATGGTGGGTAGTTACACCCCAGTCCTATAACTTCCTTCCTAAAAGGTTTAAGCAAGCCCTGTCCATTGTTCTTGTGCATCTAGGTTAACACACCCCTGAAATGCCAGAAGCAATCTCCTTTTACAGACCCCTGGGAGGGGGTCTGTAAGCACGCTCAGGGAGCACATAATTTAACTATCCTGGACCTGGTTTTCTCCCACCTTCATTTAATCTTCCTTCCTTTCCCTCTTTAACTCTAAAGGCATAAAAACAAAAAACAAAAACAAAACTGCAAACCATCATTCTCCACAGCATCTGAGATCTTGCTTGCCAACAGTGTCCTCAGTTTGGCTCAAATAAACTCTTACAAAAAAGATAGGTTGGACATTTCCTATGTAGACAAGTCAAAAGAAAATCTGTTACCTCAGGGTAGCTATTTGGTTCAAGTACTTATTTCTAAAGCCGGTACAGTCCTTTATGTCACCTGGTTTTCATTAGCATGTGAGCCAGGCTCCGTTTTAGGTGCTTCTCAAACTTTGATGTACATAGGAATGCCCTGGAATCTTGTAAAAACAGAGCTTCTGATTGGTGGGTCTGGGGTGGGGTTGGGCATCTGCAGGTTGAACAGGCGCAGGATGACGCCCAGATTGCTGGGGCCTAGGAGTGGCAAGGAGAGCTGACAGATGGAAGTTGGTTCCCTAAGTCTATTTTTACCTCCAATAAAAAGCCCAGTGAGCATTTATTCCTATCACAAGGCTATGAACTACTGTGCTATTTTTTCCTGAGATTTGCAGGAAATTTGTAGTGTAACCCCCACCTCTGGTGGGAGTGAGTTGGCAAGAAGTAAAGCCAAATTCCTTTTCATTGTACATTCTTATCTCTGCTGTTACCGAACCGCAGCAATCAGAGTTAAACACTAAGCAGAAGACCTAGAGATTTAAAAAAGTACATGTGTAGGAAGGGGAGTGTTTGAAGAAGAAAATGATTTTAATTATAAAAACGAGTAGGGGTTAAATGTGAGAAAACCCAAGTTGGCTAGCTTTGGAAGGGAAACTTGTTAAATCAACTTGGAAAACTGTCATCAGCTGCAGGGATGGATCCTTTACCTCAAAGGGGAGTGTGTGGGGTGGGGTGGGGGGGGGGATTAAAAGAGGCAATGTGAGAATGCCATTAGTTTTGAACCCAACTGAGCAGAAAGTTTGGCAGGTGAATATTACATTTTGCTGTCCAAGATCCAGAGTGAAATAATGTTTTCTGTATTATTATTAAAGTTCCTAAAAATTCAGATGAAGAAAAGTGAAGACCACATTGAGATAAAACTCAAAAAAAGTTTCAAGGTACATACAAAGCATTATTATAAAAATCATGTCATATTATATATTATTAGAGAAAAATACTGGGAGACAGTACAGCCTAGGCCAATGGCATTGTCTCTGGACAGTAGTACTTTACCTTTGGTTATGATATTTTGACATTTTCTAAAAATTTTTTATTTTATAATAAAAAATAAAAGTGCTTTTTAAAAAAAATGGACAGGCTGAGCTAGATGGAAGGAGGGAAGAGAGGAAAGGAGGGAGGGAGGGAGAGAGGGAGGAAGGATGGGAGGATGGAAGGATGGAAGGAAGGAAGGAAGGAAGGGAGGAAGGAAGGGAGGAAAGGAAGGGAGGAAAGGAGAGGAGAGGGGAGAGAGGAGAGAGGAGAGGAGGGGAGGGAAGGAAGGACTGAAGATGGCTTTTCCCTCGAAGGAAATTTCTTTCCAATAGCAATTCCTTTACATATTTCTTCTGATTATGCCCTACACTATTGTCCCCTATGTTTTTCTGGGATCATATTAATATGAAGGCTGTCACTGAGTGTTAAATGAAATTCGAGTAACTAGAATCTTTAAAGTCCCAATCACTCCTCTGTAGTCAATATTTCCTATTTCACACACAGCACCTGGCATCCATGAAGTTCACAATGCTGCAAGGATGGAACGCAAGGTCCTTTCACTTTCTACCGGAATCCACAATGTGCCAACCAACCGTTCAAGTCCCCACATTCTCCCTCTGAGCTGCGCCACCCAGCCATGGTGCCTGCAGACCCTCGGAGGGCAGAGGGCACTGGGTCCCTGTGAGCATGGACAGCTTCCATGTACACAAAATGTCCCGACAGAAAGAAATGTGCTGAAGAAGTCTGCAAAACCACTAGCACCAGCAACAACCTGCTAGGTACCTTTAAGATGGTGATATTCCAGGTGAAGCTCTCCACAGCTTTTTGGAGTTTTCGCTCCTTCAGACCTTCCCTGGTGCCTATGCTGTGCAGGTGTTCATGGAATTCCATGGCTGAAAGAGACAGACAAAATAGATTACTTCTCCCTCCAGGCTGTGCCAATGAGCCAGCAATATCTCTTTTACTAGGTATTGCTACATGATTCCAACGTCCAGTGGAATTTCGTGAACATGCCTATTTAAGAATGTAATAATGGGGAAACACTCAGAATTCAGGGCATCAGGAAGTCGGAAGGCATGTGAGAAATCTGTGGTCGTTCCACATGGTTTTGAGGGCGAACAGGACACACGGTTCGTGCTCCTCGTTTCAGAGGTGAGGAAACCGGGCTCGGCTCGCAGAGCTTGATGCCAGTGGAGGGAGCAGGAGGAAGAGCTGGGACGAGAACCCAGGTTTTGGGAATCTCACAGGCAGATTTCAGCTCTGTTGAGGACACAGTGTCAGCAACTGGGGATGAAATGAATGCAAAATGTATTTCCTGTCACAGGAGAGTCAATCTGAGATTAGACACCACGCCTGTTGTAAAAGGAAGGGGATGGGGTGAAAGACCATAAACTCTAACTGGACATTTATATCATGACTCCATAAAATTCATGTAACCCGATTAATATTCCTTACTGTCATTCAAAAGAGTCTCTTAGAGGCTCCCCATGCCGTGACACCGCAATAAGGCGGGACCGGTATGATGGCCCTTTTATTGGTCTAATAAAATTAGGATTCACTGACTTTTTGCATATTAAATTGTAATCAATTATCCCATCTCTGGCCAATGGGAATCCTCAGACAGGTTTCTATGTCCTTTTGAAATGACCAATTAGCCTCTGATATGTTCCTTGTTTTCTTGCACAAGATGTTCTAGACCAGCGGTCACCAACCTTTCGGCCCTCATGGGCCACCAGTGGTCCTCGGGCCACCGGTTGGCGACTGCAGTTAGACAACCAAGTCCATTCCCCACCTCACACTTGGAAACAAGCATTTCTCTGGATTCTGTCAGGGGGGAATATTTAAAGGCCACATCTATCTTTTATTAAAGGGAAGAGTAAGATCTTGCTAAACTTCCAATTCAAATTTAAGTATACAGGGTTTTCACATACTATATATATATTTGAATTTATGCTTATTTCTTATCTGTTATGGGGACGGTCTTAATTCCTAACCATCTCAACATTACTATTACTAGTATAATTGCTGAATCTAATTTAAACTATTTATTTTGGCCTTGGAATGTATCTTACTGAGAATGTTTGGTAAAAATATTGTATTCTAAGATCAGTCCGAATAATTCTTTTCTCTGTTTGGTTATGTCACTAACCAAGTACAACTAGATTCACTTATTTCTTTTCTTTTTCTTTTTTCATTTTGTGTGTTTTTTTCTGGATGTAATCTGTGTTATAATTATCTCAAAACTTGATTCCAAAGTCAAATTATATACCAAGGTGTATTCAGATAAGTTTTGCTTCCATCCCAATTTCCACTACCCTGACCCCTCCCTCCCCCTATACAGATTTATTAGTTTTTCTTTTCTTTTTTTATATTGTTTCTCTTCGAAAATATAAGCACATGTGTACAAATATTCATAATGCTTTCTTGTACAAACGTAGCATGCTATGTGCACTGCTCTGTACCTCGGCTTTGCCTTTTCCTCACGTGACTACGCCCTATATCTAGTTCTGACTTTCACTGGATGTGATTAACACACTGCAAAACAGACAGACAAAAAAACAAGCAAACAAAATAACCATGGATAGGTGGCAATCTTGTTTTAAAACCCAGGTGTTTTGCTAGAGCATGAAACCACACACACAATTTTTCCCAGGTTACATGTGGGAGCCTCCCTGGCATGTGCTGTACTGAAAAAACGGCCAGGTGAGGCCCTAACGCTGAGACCCCAGTGTGCTGGGGAGGGGGGAATTAAGATTTAATTTTGGACGTCAGCAAGACCTGGGTTTCAGGGCCTGAATCATTAATACTCATTGTGTTTATATTTCTGGGGGCCGGGAGGCACTCGTCTCACACGTCTCACGTAGGTGTGGTAGACAGAATCCATGACTGGGCGACAGGAAGGAGAGACACAGCCGGTTGTGTGCAGGGGGTATAAACAAGAAGGCATACACCTGGATGGCCTTCGGGGCGCACAGGGCGAGACAGGGGAGGGAATGGAAGGGCTGTCACCCCTACAACTGCCTGCCCCGCCATGGGGTATGATGTTTCTTTTTCATTACACATTTCAAAACTGGCGCAAACGTGTGACACAACAATACGCGGGATGTTTCAACGACAAAGTTATCTGCGTGGAAGCCTCCCTCCACTAGAGGCAGACTGTTGGCCTTGCTGAACAGTTCAGCACTGTAACTGGGTAGAAGCTTCCTTCCTTTAACATGGCCTTTCTCCTTTCTTTCCTTTGATTCAAGCTGGGTTCACCCAGGACCCTGACTCACCTGCCTCCTTCTCCCTTGCACAACCACTCCCTTAAGTATTTAAGCCCTCAGGACGAGATTCTGATCGGCATCAAATAATAATCTTTAGAACAAGATTTCCTCCGGTCTGCTGACCACAGAGACTTAGAGATAACACTTAGGCCTCAGTTGTGTTTCATCTCCAGGCCAGAAAAGCAGTGAAACCAGATAGAGATGCCACGGCTGACATCAGGACCAGATGATCAACTACCCTCTTCTCCAACGCCGACCAATCAGTAGCGACCTGCACCCTGACTACAACCCAAACTTCCTTAGTCACCATGACCGGGGATTTTCCCCTTGTACAGCCATCCCTGGGAAGCCATGGGAGCCAGGTCTTGGAGCATTAGCCAACTTGTCTCTGGGCATGAGCCACATCCTAAAAATAAACCCTTACTCTGCTGCAAGCTCCTGTTGGTCTTATTGGGCTTTGATGTGCACAGGCAAATGGACCCCTTTAGTCCGACAGCATCACCCGTAAGGTAATGACACCAACTGCTCGCTGGGCTTCATTCCAACAAGGAAAAACCTACAGATAATACAAGCATGGAAGAGTGGATGGAGGCAGCACTGGCTTTGACCAACACCTATCCCAGATTTAAAGAAAGCAGCTTTCGGAAAGTTCAGAAGAACACAGGCCAGAGGCAGTAACAAGACAGGCTGCTTTGAGAGGGAACAAGGACTCAAGGGGGAAACAGTCAAGATGGTGAAAATGATACTGATAAGGAAGATATGGGAAAGCATTTAAAGAAATAAGTGTAGCTGTTTTAAAAAGCTCATATTTTACATGTTTTTTAGAAAGTGAGACTAGAGAGTTCACCTTTATTTTATCAACTACCCTCTTCCCCAGCTTACATGTGGGAGTCTTAAAATATCTACAGTCCAATAAAAGTCATAGGGAAGTACAGAATGTTTTATTAATAAAGTTCTTTAAAAATGGGGCAAAAAAGGTGATGAGTTGAAAACTGGAAAAGTTGTTAAAAATATAAAAACCCCCAATTTTTAAAATGACCACTGTCATTGATTTCATTATGCTGCACAACAGATGTGTTTCTTTAAAAAATATTTTTATATTATTAACTTATAGACTGATCAGTGCAAGCATGTTGCTCATCTGCTGATATGAAGCATGTACTGATTTTATTTTTATGGGAATAAAGGATTCTCACCATGGCCTATGCAGCATGATTGCTCCCTCTCGCCTCCCCTGTCCTATACCAAGCCGAGGGCAAGGACTTAGGGCACACAATGCAGGGGAGCAAGAGGCAGCTCACGGGATGCTTTACGTACATTGCAGAGGAGACTGGAGAGGGGCACAGAACCCTCCCCAAGGAAATGGTGAAGAAGGACTGGAATATTGGTTTGCCTGAGCCCAGTACCCCAAGATTTTCCAACAACCATGCATTATTTCTGAATTAGAGTCCCTGCCCTTAATAGGAGTGTATGCTTGTAGTTATGTGCATCAGATAATTATGCTGTGAGGAAGTACACTAAGGGCTATTGGACCCAGTTCTAAGGGAATACAGAACGGGAAGAATGAGATTATGCATTTGAACTGGGTCAGTCCCTATATAACAAGAAAATCTAATTATATATATCCAAGATGCAAACTGCATTATTCCCTTGATATTAAATTACCAGGAAATCTATCCCAACATCACAGGGGTCTTTTTGGTTCTTTACATCAACAGTGAGTATAAAGGACTTGTCTGGGGTAGATGTTAACTTTCTCCCTTTTTCCCAAATTATTTTCAGCAAAGAAACATGAACCCAATGAAAAAGTCCTTTAAGATTCACTAAGAATATTAAAAGTATCTCTCTTCTCCTTCTGTGAGTTCTTACCATACTGTCTAAAGAGCAGATGGTGAAAATCAGGTAAGTAAAAACTTTACGACTAAGTTACCACCGTCCCATACCCCCCACAAAGAAACCAAGTTGTTTTTGCTCTAAAACTCCTGGTTCTATAATTTCAGTTTGAGGTGGTGGAGTTAGGAACTGGTGGAAGGTGAAGGAATCTGGAGCTCCCACTGTGGGGACCAGGATGGAACGTTGATCAGCTCTTGGGGGAGCACTGGGTAGACAGGGAGCGCATGTGAATCTGACTGCAGATGGACATCCAGAAGTGGGGGAGGCTGGGAGTTAGGAGGTTGCTCCAGTAATCCAGAGAATTTGAAAGCCTCTATTGCTTGAGAGAGCTTGGAGGAAAGGTAACTCAGCAAAGGACTTGGGGGAAGGGAGCCTGTAAGAGGATCCTAGGGGCAGGCTTCCCAGAGAGGGGATCTCAAGCCTCAGTGTACAAGAGTCCCTGGAGGTACTGTTTAAAAGGCGGTTTCTCTGCCTCTCCCCCAGCACTCTGAGGAAAACCAGAACAGGAGGATGGGGAGATGGGACTGAGACAGGAAGTCATGATGAAGATGCAGAGCAAGCCCAGCAGGTGTCAGAGGGCCACAGGTACAGGAGCATTTCAGAAACCTTAGAATTATGAAATAGCAACTGTCTATCCTAAAAAAGAGAAGGACAGAAAGGGGGACAGGAAAGTCAAGGCTCTTCCTTTTTAAGTGGCCCAGCTCACATGTACAAATATTTATTTCCAAATTATT